TCAATGATCGATCAAATTTTGAAAAATCTTTCTTACTACTTCAGAAAAAGTGAAGCTTAAACACAATATTCTAAACTAACTATATTTATCCATATGACTATTTTTCTCTTTTTCTAAATATATTAACATTGGTTGTCAATCAATTACTCCAACTCAATGTTCTAAAAGGCACGTCTAGGCAGTGCCTTATTTAACCGTTGATCGCTAATGCATGCCTAGACGCTCATTATCATTTTTTTTTCTTTTTTTCTTTTTTAATTTTTTTTTTTAAGTTAAAAATTAAGATTAATGTCTTCAATCTGCCCTAATTTAAACCAACCACTTGAAGCCTTCAAAGCTTCCAAAAATTCCTCTCTTCCAATGTGCAACATCTCAACACTTTCTCTTCCAACAACTGCTTGACTTGGTGCTTTCTACGGTAAGTCAGACGCACTCAATCTGCAAAAGAAAATAGACTAACCTGGATTTATTTATTTATTTATTTATTATTATTTTGACACGGGTCCATACTCCTGACTCCATAGTGGGGTTTCTATATTAAAAGTGTCGAAAATGAAAAAGACAAACCTTGCATCTCCATGCTAAAAGTCTAAAAGATTGGCTAATGAGCCAATGACACTGGGTCCACATTGGGGTCTTCTCTAGTGTACACTATCAATTTTACTAACTTTTACGTATAAAATGGGAAAAGGAAAAATATAATAATGTTAGTATATTTGTGATCATTATAATATTCCATCATGAACTTGGCATGTTTGATCAATATAATATTCATCCCTTATCATATAAATTGTGTTCTTTTTGCACTAAAGAAATCAGAAAAATGGGAAAACTTGGGGTATTTTACATTTACAGAATTTGTAATTTTGTGTGCATCTTAATTCTATTTATTTTAGTACACTGAACTCCAATGTTTATAAATTTTATATTGTTTCTATTTTTTTTAGGAACCATTGAAAGAAGGTGATTCGTTAAGCATATCTAAATCCAAAGCTAGTCAACTCAAAAGAAATTCCACAAATGTTGCATGGAAAACTGCAATTTTCGTGGGTCCAAACAATCTTAATAATGTGAAATGCATATTATGTGAAAGGTTACAAGGGGAGGAATTTCTAGGCATAAACTTCACGTAGCAGAAATCAAGGGAAGATGTATGGCATCATGTCCTAAAACAAGTGAAGAACAAAAAAGCTAAGTGTGTTGAGGCTCTTCAAGGGACCAAGTCTAAAAAAATAGAGAAGCTATTGAATGATGGTAAGTTGAGAGAAGATATGAATATATCTTTGCCTACAATAGATGAGGAAGAAGAAGATGGAATCACTATTATTGAAAGAGGGACTAGGAAAGGCCTATTAATGTGGGACCTATGGATTAATTTGCAAGGTCTATCAATGTCAATAATGCTTCTATGAGTGCAATTAAGAAATTGAGACAACAAAATATGAATGATGCAATTGCTAAGAAAATGTTATTAGAGGTTCATCAATATTTGGCAAGATGGGTTTATGAAGTCCACTTCATACAACTGCTTATTTTTTTGAATCCATTCTATTTCTTCATGAATCCGTGTATCAATGATGATTCATTCATGATAAATAATATAAATGCTTATGTTGATAAATTCTTCCTTAATGATCAAATGCAGCATCATGTGATAATCATTGAGTTGCAAAGATATATCCAAAAGAAAGTTTCATTTGGAAGGAAGCTTGCAATAAGTGCATGTAAAAACAATGATGAAAATTATAATCAAGGTATGTTAACATATTACTCTTTCTCTTGCATCAATAATTTATTATATTTTATATGTGATTATATAAATATTAAATAACTTGTTTGTCTCTTTCATTTATATTTATTAGTGATTTGGTGGGATTTTTATGGAAATGAAACACCTATTTTGAAGACCATGGCAAAAAGGATATTTGGTTTGACTACTTGTTCATCCAGTTGTGAAAGAAACTAGAGCTGTTTTGAAGGGATAAATATTAATTAAGTCATTACATTTTACTTAGTAATAAGCAATGAATAATTACTTAATATGCTTTGCTCCATTAAATGTACCTTTCCTCCTCCTCCTCCTCCTCCTCCTCCTCTTCTTCTTCTTCTCATTTTTTTTATTATAGATACACTTGGTGAAACAGAATAGACTTGATTATTGTGCAATTTAATGCAAGGTTGGCAAACAAGAAGAGTAGAACATGCAAAATAGAGACTCTATAAGCAAGTGATGCAACTAATGGAAAATCTTGGATTGTAGAGGGTTGTGATGATGCGAAGGAGTATGATGGGGGTGGAAATGATATCTTACTGCCTTCGAGAAGTTCTAGAAATGCTTAGAATTAAATGAGGGAGCTTGACAAGGAAGATTTTGTATCCGACGATACGGAGGACGAATTAGATGATCTCTTCCTACTGCATGTCAATATAACTTGTGAGCCCCTGATGATCTGTATTGTGCACTACACAGTCTTGTCCTGATTCAATTACCTTCTTCCTGGGTTATGGAATTGTGCAAAAATAAAATGCACGAGGAGACGGGTGTTGGCTAGGGATAGGATTGATAACAGAAAACAAAAGGTACGAAGAGCAAAAAGATATTGCCTTCTAATTTTCATCATTAATTCATTCTCATGGTAGAAGCAAAGACGCTTCAATTTTCTGTAGACAAGGCTATGCATATGCTTGGTTAAACAGAAACTACCTAATCATATTGCCTTCCAATTTTCATCATTAATTCATTCACATTTCAGCCCAAAATTGACCCTTTTGAACGATAAATAATTATATAACAACAACAAAACAATGTGGCCGAACATTATTACGTTGTGGACATTATTGTATCTTGTAGCATTTGTCAATAATATGACCTTCTTTTCCGAAGCGGTTGCAGTGAATCTTTGAATGATTTTTTCATCTTCCTCAATCGATTAGATGTCGTCCAATTCCTAGGCTTCCATGAGTTAAGAAATTAGAATTTGTTTTCTTATTTTAGCGATTGTAACCTTAGGACACCATTAATGCAGATCCCAATTGAAAAAGGCTCCCAGGCCCATTTGTAGGGGTTGTCACATGGGGGTGGACCCACACGTGGACCCCATGTGTGGAGTCCACCTCCATATGTGTGCCTCTGTACAGGCCCTACGCAAATGGACGTATACATGTAGCACAGCTAATCCCAATTTGTTCTTTGCTCTAAAGACTGTGCACAATGATCTGTGCCAAGTATTATAATTTTCAATTGAAAATAGAGGTCACACAACAACAATGATTGATGATCTTTGCCATTATGATTGTGGGTTTGTGAATGGATCAGAAATAGGAACAACCATTTTTTGGTCTGATGATTTATTAATGGTTTGAGCCATCAGATGAAATAAAGCCTATGCTCAGAAAAATATTATTTTTTGTACATTAAATATATTTATAATCAAAGACATGTCTATATCAGAAAGAAAAACAAAGCAATACAAATGGAGAGAAATAGAAATCACAATTAGTAAGCATAATAGGAAGGATCCTTTGGGGAATAACAGAAGGTATGTAAGGGGATCGAGTCTTGCAGCCATTCTGATACCTTTCCATGATCAATTTAACATTGACCAATTTTACAAAACATCACGATGTTCACAATCAGATATTTTTAAATCGAGTAGTTGTTCATTTTCCTGCTCTTGTGCATCATCCAGCTTGTTTGGAGTTATAGGGCAAGCAGGACCAGGGAAGGACCGCGTTCTCCTTCTGAAAACACTGAAATATAGAGGGTTATTGGGTGTCTTATCAGATAAGGATAGTGCTCTCCTTGTTGAAACACTAATATATTGAAGATTATTGGACGTCTGATCAGAGAAGGACCGCAATACCAAAGGCACAATTCTGTCTTGTGCACCTTCTATGAGTAGTTCACAATCTACTTCAGGTGAAAATTGATCATCTCCATACCAGTACGCAACCAACCAGTATATTAGTAAGTTAACAAAACTTAGAAGTGTCAGCATCGCATAATATTTGTCCAAACGACTTGAATCTATATCTTCCCCAAACCAGCTACTGAAAATGAGGATACAAAGTATACTCAGAAACTTTCCGATGCCTATCACACATTCTCCAAACGGTGGTCCGTAGTTCTTTAGAGATTCAGAAACCTGGGAACAAAAGAAACTTCGAAGCCCACTTTCTGAAAGTCCTTTCATAATTCCCAAGAAGATAAATTGTGGAGTCAGGCTAAAAATATTCGTGTATGAACTTGGCATATCATATGTCTTGACCAAATACAGCCAGTGAACTGCATTTTTCCAAGAAAATATGCAACAAATGACAGAAAATGCCATTCCAAAACCGATTCTCCCCTGCCTTAAGAGTTGTCTATTCATTTCATTACCAATCTTTCGAAATAGGAAGTCACATAGATGTTCAATTGCAAAGCTTGTGACTACTACTAATATATTGAAAACAGTAAAAGGAAAATTTTCATTTATGTTGCTAGCTTGTTCGAGAAAAAAGGTGCTCCCTGTCGCATCAACCAGACTGTATGTAAGGAAAGTTGTCCACATAGGAACCATCGCTAATAAAAATTTCACTTCCTTCACTTGTGCAACTGTGCAATTCTTGTTTGCCCTATTTTCTTCTTCAATCACAATGGGAGCTTTGTCTAACCACCTTTCGTTTAACAAACAAAATGCAGTGCGAATAAGATCAATGATCTTGTAGTCTTCATTGTAAGTAAGAAACCGAGTGAAGGGACATACCTCAACCATGAAATGCGAGGCTCAATATGCGTAACACCTTTATAATTTTGGAAGAGCTGCTCTGGAGTAGTTGCATAGAGAAGATTTCTTCTTAGTACTGCTGTTTTGATAACAAATAGAACATCAGAGATGGCGCTGCCTGTTGGTCGATTGCATTCGTAAAATTTTGCACCTAACCAGAACCACAAGTATGCAACCATCATTGCAATTGCTGAGATCATAGAAAGCAGCTTCAATGAACTCGGGACAGAAATAGCTGCAATAGCACCCAAGATGGATGCAGAGCGCCACCAGACATTGCTACGGCTATGTTGTCGTTCTTCATCCTCTTCTGTGGTTGTGATATCCTTCGCCATGAATTGATCATCAAGAAACCCGTTCAAGGATACCTCTTTTGCTGCTTTTGCCAGAGTTATTAGCACGAGTCCTATGTAAAAAGTTCGAACATCTATTTTTCTATGCCAGGCTGCATTCCAGAACAGCACCAATCCCTACAAAAAGTCGATTGATTTAGAAAATCTCTGAATAAGACACTCGAGAGTAAAAAGTGGTGGGTTTAACGTTAATCTCTCATTAAAAAACTCACAATGATGTAAGATATGGTGGAGTAAACCACCATTTTGAAGCGGCCCAGATAGGCATCCGTGCTGAGGTTCCTTCCTGTAAATTGACAGCTTGAGCCGATTTTGATAAGCCCCATACACCTGGGAGATAAGTGATCAATATATTTACCAGCGCGTTCTCTACGAAACTGTGGACAAATATGAGGCCTACAGAAATTTAGGCTTAAGTGTTAGAAATTAGGAAGAAATAATCAAAATCAGCTACAAAAACTATAATTACACTGAGTTTACCAAGTATAAACAATGCTTCCTTCGAGAAAACAACGTAGTAACGGAAGTTCTTCGAACACCAGTTGATTATCCTCATTCTTGGACTTGAACCGATTCTACTGCTACAAATTGTATATAGTCAGCCTTTTACTTCTTGAAAATTAAGGAATTATAGGCTCAAATACTTATTATATAAGTCGGAACTTACAAAGTAAAAAAGGAAACTTCCTGAGGTTATCAGAAGTCGTTATTGTCGTGTCATATTGTCTTTGGTCAGAATTCAGTTGTCGTCAGTACACTGTACACCTTCATTCTTCAAGTTGAAAGTTCGTCATTGAAGAAAACAGTGAAGTGGGCCAATTGTGATAGGTAGAATGGGACCTTAGTACGCGTAAAATACGAGATTATTTTAATCGTGGACCTCACTCCTTGCATATGAGTGTGATATGTACCATGATGTAAACAATGTTGTACCCATAGCATGACTCTTTTACATTCCTCAATTCACGAAAAAATTTTAGCCCCCATTTGAAACTCTTTTGTTAATCAAATCTTAGTTTTCTACTGTGGTAGACAGATTTATAAAACGATTCGCAGTAGTCGGGATGAGATAATATTGATAATGCATTGAGGCTTACAGGACTATTTTACCCTCAATTTGTAATGGGAAATTTACACACAAGTACCCTTGACCATTTGAACCATTTTACGTGAAATTTACGGCCATAATGTCAAGGGCGTAATTGTAAATTGACAACTTTAATATTTGCAAAATTCATTTTTAACTATATATTTTCTTAAAAATTAATTTTACACATAAATATAAAGTATTTTTTTTAATTTTTAACCACATATTTTTTAAAAATTACTATTTCAAAATATGTTTTTCCTCAAAATGGAGGTCAAATATAACCAGTTCTCGTAACAATAAGATATTGCTGAAGATGATTAGGCAAAAATTATTCTAGAATGAAACACCCACAATAAATACAACATGTTGAAAAATTGGCTCATAAGACACCGAAGTGTCAAGACTTGAATTTTGTGAAGACACAACTTTACAACGAAAAACATTTTAAATTACTTACTAATATTACATATTTTCACAAATGTTCTACGTGAGTTTTCATATTTATAAAAATTTCTCATCAATATATATCAAGTGCAATCACGACATATGATATGCTCTTATTTTCAAAGTAATGCTTTCACTTTATGAAATCACAAACTTAACAAGTCTAAAAAATAGTACAAATTCTATAGTTAGAGCATATTCTATGATGATGTAAAATTAGGTGTAAATTGATATCTTCAAAATCAATTTTGCATTCTTATTTATATTCTGGTGGATCTAAATTCAAAATTTGTTGTAATGGGAAGATTTAAATCCACTTTTTACTTCTTTCGAATTTTACATTTTCTATCAAAAAACATATTTTGAATTTCCTTTGCATCTCTCCATTAGAGAGGTTTAAGGCTTGTTTGGAGTTCTAAATCACAATTTAGCCCTATTTTATACCACAATTGGAAATGCTCTTTATAACATTTCAAATTTTCACAAATCTTGAAGTGTTATAAAAAAATTTCTTTAACTTTATATTGAAGGCGGAACAATAAAAATAAGTTTCTTAAGAATAAAATAATTGAAATATTCATAAATTTAAACTAAACATGAAAATTGTATAAAAAAATAAATAAATAAATAAACATGTTCAAACATGTCTTTGAGTAAATTTAAGCTAACTAGGAATTTAAAAACATAAAAACTTAATATGTATATTTCCTTTTTTTTTATCCAGTCGATAGTCCACATCACCATCCTGCCACAGATTTAATCAACCCAAACTAACATGTAAAATTATAGTAAGAATGGATATTTAAAAATACCTAATAAGATATGTGCAGTTTTCATAAATAATTATATAACAATAAATTAAACACTTTGTACTATATTTCTTATAAAGTGTATCGATGATCAGGCGATACACCCATAAATAGTACTTTGAATTTCCAAAAAATATTTTGTTATAAAAAATTCAATAGAGTTCACATTTTGTTAGATCAAACTAGGAGATCCACTTGCGATTCATACATAAAGTATGAAATATAAAAGTATACGAAAACAAATTACTTGGATTAAAATATCTTATTTTGTTAAATAACTAATTTTTGAAGATATGAAAGCGCACTCCAAACTCCCAAGACTCTGAAAATAATAAAATCAGTTTGTCTTGTGCCTCAAAAACATCTCCCGCCGGCCCCCACGCCCCCATGTATGTGGACTCAAGTCAATTCAATCACATCAAGTCTAGTGGAGTTGAATTGAATTGACTATAAATTTTAATGGACAAAATAATAATAAAAAATAAAACAATTATAGTTATATACACTCAGGCATAGGCATAGGCTACCCACGACCAAAGTTAAATTAACTAATTTTAGATAATTACAACATCCTTAAGCTTCAATATTTTGGACTGAATTTATCGAAATTGACTTTTTCTCGAGTTCATAACTTCTAATTAATTAAGACCTACAAAAAGAGTCCAATATTGATATACTTATTTTTGCTCTATTAAAATCTAATTATTTGACCCAAATAAAAATATAAGAATTTAAAAACAACTATATCACTTTAGTCCCTCAACTA